GTCGCTGTGCCCCCTGCGCCGCGGAGGAGCGTCAGACGACCTTATGTCGGGGCGTCGGACTCGCAGGGAGGTCAAGGACCGCGGCAGCTGGAGGACGGACCAGTCGCTGAAACGATGCGCCAAGCGAGCTCGGATGCAGCAGCGTTTGGGATAGCGCGCGCCAGCTCTTGTGGAGTTCGGGGACAGGATCGAGGCGAACTTTTTGCAGCTGATGGGCGAGGAGGCACGGGCGGCCATCTTCTCGCTGCAGCTGCCGCCGCTTCTCCCTGCGTCTGCGCCGCCAGTCGCGAGGTCGGCGCCCGCGCTGACCGACCGTTGGAGCTTCGTTTGAGAAGGTTTTGGCGGCGGGCCCGATCGCGCGCGTCTGTCATGCCTTATCATGTGAGTTTGTGCATCTGCACGCCGACTTGTATTCGTCGAGCTTGCGAACATCTTGGGCTTGGGAGACCCGCGTCTACTGGGCGTGGTGCTGGGCTGGGTGCGCTCGTCGGCGGTCCTCGGCCTATAGGCCTCCGTGCCGGCTGCGACCTGGAAGTCGGGGGCGGCCCGCTTGCGCCGACTGGGCGCCCCTCTGGAGGGAACGAGAATCTCTGAGCCTGATAGATGTGCCATCGGAGTTGCTAACGCGCTCACCGCCGCCACCTTTCAGCTGATCTCGGAATGCATTTGTCGCAGGGTCCCCGTGATTTTTGTGCACCCTGAAGCTAGCCTGATCTGGAGACATCCCCTCCTTTCCCTTCTCCTTCTCCTGCTCTCTCGACTCCTGCATGTTTTCAGGCCGCGTTAGACAGAGAATGTTCTTGGTCGGTTGGGGCGTTCGGGACCTCGACTGCCTCTCGCGTCGCTGCCTCTGCTCCCAAGGCCTGTGTGACCGCACTGGCCGCCGTCGCTTGGGAGGCCCCGGTCGTCCTGCGCTGGATGCCGTTGCTCGAGCCCCGATCCGCGGTCTACCCTTTGAAGTAGCCGCCGCAGGCACGGACATGATAGTTGCTGCCGCGCGGCAGCTGTCCCGTGCCGCCCGATATAACAAGGTATATTTTTCAATGCAGTTGCTCGGTTGTAGCCATGTGTGGAGACTAGCGTTGGGTACCGAGTCTGTGCTTCTCTTGCTGGTTGTGCACTCTCGAGGCTGCCCTCCGCCGTTCTGCACAAAGATGGGGAAAAATATGGCCTCGAATGATCCCACATTCCGCGACTTGTTGGCATTTGCGGTGCATGTGTGGCCGTATCCTTGTGCTCAAGTTCTTCACTGGGCCCCCCCGCCCAACTTGAGCAATAATTTTTACCGTTGCCGAGTGTGTGCTTCTTTTGCTGGCTGTGCACCCTCGAGGCTGCCCTCCGCCGTTCTGCACAAAGATGGAAGCATGGCCTCGAGTGATCCCACATGATGATGATGATGCTGACGATTACGACGACGATGACGATGATGATGCGGATCGTACTGATGATTTTGATGACGTTACTGATGCTGATGGTGCTGCTGCTGATGATGATGATGATGCTGATGCTGATGACGATGATGCTGATGCTGGCGATGATCCTGAGGATGATGCTGCTGCTGATGATGATGCTGATTATGATGCTGACGATGATGATGTTGATGATCATGTTGATGCTGATGCTGTTGATGATGATACTACTGCTGCTGTTGCTGTTGATGATGATGCTGCTAATGATGATGACGATGACGGTGATGACGGTGATGCCGATGATGCTGATGATGCTGTTGCTGATGGTGGTGATGATGATGATGTTAATGACGATGCGTTTGCCGATGATGATAATGCGGCTGATGATGGTGTTGGTGATGCTGATGTTCATGATGACGGTGATGCTGGTGATGATGACTGCGATGAGGTTCCTGATGTTGTTGGTGATGCTGATGATACTGGTGCAGATGACGATGACGATGATGCTGATGATGCTGCTGCTGATGGGGATGATGATGCTGATGCTGATGATGATCAATATGAATTTGCCGATGATGATAATCCTGATGATCATGACACTGATGCCGATGATGATGATGATGATGATGATGATGATGATGATGATGATGATGATGATGATGGCAGTGATGATGCTGATGCTGATGATGCTGCTGCTAATTATGGTGCTGATTATGATGACTGCCCTGTTGATGATGGTGATGATGGTGATGCTGTTGATGATGATGATGATGCTGATGGTGATGATGATGGTGATGATGCTGATGATGATGGTGCTGATGACGACGATGAGGATGAGGAGGAAGAGGAGGAGGAAGAGGAGGAGGAGGAGGTGGAGGAGGAGGAAGACGACGAGGACGAGGAGGAGGAGGGCGAGCAGGACGGCCAGAGGCCTTGTGGATGTCTCTCGGCGTCTCTTCGAATGTCTCTTGGGAGTGTCTTGGGATCCCATTCGTGCGTGTTGGGAGCCTATTGGTGGTCCCAGGGGCCTCGTGGAGCGTCTTGGGTGCCTCGGGAAACCCTGTTGTGGCCTCCTTGGGCTCTCTTGGGGGCCTCTCGGGGGCCTCTTGGGGCCTCTTGGGGCCCTCTTGGGGCACTCCTGGGAGCCCTGGGGGCCATCGTGGGGCCATCTTGGAGGAGCTCGATCACAGAAGGGGTCCTTTATCCCCCCCCAGGAGGCCAGCAGGTGGCCAAATCCTTACGCCGTAAAATCATTTTTTTTACATTCTCGCCGAGGCCTTCTTGCGTACTCCATTGGGACACATCCCCCCGTTCAGGTCCAGGGAGGGGCTGTGGGGAGGGATAAACTTCTCCCCCAAGGGGAAGAAGGGGGTTGGAAGAGGAACCCTCTAAGTTACTCAAGCCCTAAATGGCTGGTGGGAATGAGCGTCGACTAGCGTCGATCAGTGTCGACTTGGCGTCGATTAGCGTCGGCTAGCGTTGATTTGGCGTCGATTCGTAGGAGCCAACAAGATGATATGTGAGGCTCCCATGGGTTGCCGCAGAAGCCTCCTGTCTTCCTCGTCCTCCTCGTTTTCTTTGCAGTCCTTTGTCTTGCCCCCTGCGACGAACACAGAGATTAGACCCCTACAGTAGCCATGTTTTTTCTGGAGCGTGTTGCTTCGGGGGTTTACTGACCCTCGCCCCCAAATGTCACACAAGAACTTCGCTTAGTTCGGAGAATCTGCCAGGACGTTACCAGGGGGCCTGAGAGAGGTCTGGGCGTCAGTTTTGAAGAGGCTTCCGGCCAGTTGGAAAAGAAATGCATTTTCAGTCTTGGGACCTGTGAGAACACATGGGAGATGGGAGGTCTGGATCTTAAGGCACCTCAGCCTTGGTCTTTGCCGCGGGCACTGTTGCCGCCTCTCGCTTGGGGGACACTCACCATCTGGTCCCTGCCACTTCAGAGGCCATGGGCAGAATGTGTGGATGCTCGGGCCACGGATGTGCCCCGTGCAGCAGAGATGCAGACAGCAGCTGGTGCCTCAGAGGAACACATACCGCTACCGCCGCTCCTCCCCCGTCGCCACGGCTGGATTCGCCTCGTAGTCTTCGTCGGAACGCGCCCATTGAGAGATCCAGGGAGCAGCGGTATCGGTATCCAGCTGCCCGCAGCAAGTCCCGCCGCCGTGCCAGCGCGCAGCATTCTGTGCGGCGCCCATTCGAGGGGGCACGGGAAACCGTCACGTATGACACCTTTGGCCTCTCGATGGCAATGGGGGCTCGTTGGGTGCCACTTGGTGGCCTCTTGGGGGCATCTTGGGGGCTCCTTGGGGCCTCTCGGCAGCGTCTGGAGGGCGCCTCGGAGACTCTTGGGGGCTCCTTGGGTCAGTATCTTGCTGTTCCCTCCGTGCCCTTCCAGGGAGAACCTTTTTGAAAATCATCTCAGGAGCTTCTCTCTGGGATCCCAAGCCATCCCAGGTGTCGAAGCACGCCAGGGAGCTCCGGGAGGTCCCCAGCAGCGACCAGGTTAGCGTTTTTCTTGAGCCTTGAGACGGGGGTCGGTGCAAACGGGGGTTGCCAGAGCGCCGGATCTCCCAGGATGCTGCAGAGCCAGGGGCGCCCTGACCCAGGCCAGGGCGCAGGATCCTGCAGGATCCTGCAGTCAAGGGCATAAAAAACGCCCCTGCCCTGGTTTACGAGGCGCTGTGCGCTGAAACTCCTGTGGGCTGACAGGGTAAACCCTGCATGATGTGCCGCGTCCTGGCGGCTCTAGGCTTTGGGGGTTCCCAGGAGGTTTACAGACCACGCACTTATAACCCAGGGTAGGGCTGTTTTTTCATCCCCCGATGCAGGATCCTGCACAAATCCTGACTGGCTCGGGTCTGCACCGGCCCTGGCCAGCAGGGGCCCGAGGCTTACCAGGGGCTGCCAGTCTTCAGTCGGGCCTGTCCCTCTACAGGAGGAAGGTTCAAAACTAGTCAAAAAATAGTACGGGGACGATTTTTCGAGTATTCTTGACTATTTTTGCTTTTTTCTGATTCTTTTTTGACTTTTTTGTTTTCCCTCTAAAATCCGCCTGTTGGGGGACATGCCTGACATAATGCCAGTCTTCTTGTTCCCCCCGTGCCCGATGCCCCGGGAGATGTGGGCGACGCAGAACCACGGGGTCGTCTGCGCTGACGTGCGCAAGCTGCCCGCGTAAGGTCGCGCGTAAGCGCCCTCGTCTCCAACGCGGCTTGCCGCGATGGTGGCCCGCGTAAGCCACTGCGTAATGTCGCTATGTCATGTCGCCCCTGTCCGAAATCAGGCTTCATCTGGCTCATTCTCGCTCGATCTCGCCTGCTCCCGCTGAGTCCGCAGCCCAGTCTGGCGCAGTAGCCCACCAATGGGGCTTAATCCTCCTCAGTCATTCCGACGCCTCCCAGTATAGGGGGCCACATGCGAACCCTACCCTTACCCCCCACGATTTCTGAGGGGGAGGGTGGGGTTCACTCCCTTCGGAAACTCCCGAGCGAAGTGAACCCCACCCTCCCCCTCGGAAATCGTGGGGGGTAGGGGTAGGGTTCGCATGTTGCCCCCCACAGTAGTTGTCTTCCAGCCCCGGGAGAGGTGGCCGTGGGCGTCGCGGCCCTGGCGCTGCTCGCGCATGCCGCCGCGGTGCTGCTGCAGCTGCTGTGCACGGCCGCGGCCGCCTGCGGGACCCTGTCCGCGCCGGGGCCTCGGCCGCGGGCGCCCGCGGGCGGGCCCGGGGCAGGGCGACGGTGCGTCTGGGGGAGCTCCTCGTCGTCGTCCTCCCCCTCGTCGTGCGCCCCGCGCCCTGGCGCCCGCCGCTCCCGCCCTGCCGCCCGATGAGGCAGGAGGGCAGGCGTAGGTGGGATGAAGCCGTACGCTCGTCTCCTCCTCCTCGTTTTTGTCGAGGCGCTAGGTGTTCGGTCTTCGGGCCAGTATTCTTTCCGGCGACGATCCAGGCCCCCCCCCGCCCCGGATCGCCCGCGGCGAGGCGCAGCTGCTGGAGCGCACCCCGAGGCAGGAAAACCGCCAGGGACCGGCGAACATGCCCGAAAACCTTTGAGAACCCTCGACAAAACGGGGTATTTATCGGCGCCCTGCGTGGGAACCGACGAACACGCCCGAAAACTTTGAAAGAAGTTCTCTCCCGGATGTCTCTAGGCCTCTCAGATGGGGTCTGAGTAGATGAGGTTGGAGGATCGCGCCGCATCGCCGATGCATCGTCGATGCGGCTCGATGTGGAGCCAGTGCTTCACCACACCGACGTCGCCGATGCATCCCCGACATATTCATCACCGATGCATCGGCGATGCGGTGCAAACCTCCGATCCCATCTACTCGGACCCCATCTAGGAGGCATCTAATGTTCGAGTAGGGGATCGACTACATAATTGATGTACCCCAAGCTTGAAAGTTTCGTCGAATCGACGTGGCAAGCACGCCGAATGGATGTAGATCTACGGGCCTTGGATGCATCTCCGTAGATTCGACGAACACCTCAACCTGTGGGTAAAGCAGTCCTGCGGTGAGATCTCCTGCTCGACCCGCCTAGGCCCCCGCGCCCCGTGCGCCCCCGGGGGGCGGCGCGTCCCGGGGGCCCCCCTCGTGGAGCGGGCCCTGGCCGTGCCGGCCTTCCCCGGGGGGTCTCGGCCCAGGGCCTCGCGGGCCCCGCGTGCGGGGGGCGGGGCGGGGGGAGGGGGGAGGGCCCGGCCCCGTGGCGGTTCGTTCGTTTCGGCCTCCAGGGGGCTCTCGCCGGGCCTCGGGGCTGGGAAAGGAAGCTTCAGGGCGAGAAGCTGGGGGTCGACGCTGTGGGAAGATATGACGTCGGGGGTCTGCGGGAGGATGGTGTCGAGGGGGAGGAGCACCTGCGCCAAGAAGGCCCCGCTGCCTCGCTCGTAATTCGGTGCTCGAGAATTTGAAGCGTCGCCTGCGAACTTTGTTCACATTGGCCGAAACGCCAGAAACGTCGGGGGGAAGAGCGGGGGGGGTTAGAGAGGGGCGAGGGGCGGGCGGGCGGGAGGCGGGGGAGGAGCGGCGGAGGAAGGGGGAGGAGCGGGGGGAGGAGGCGGGCGGAATGCGGTACAGAGTGGCGAGGGGCGGGCGGGCGGGAGGATCGGAAGGGAGGACCCCTATCCGCGAACGGCGGCTGTCGAGGCTGTCGCTAGCCGCGCGGGCGTGGCAGCAGGGGGGGGGGCGAGAGGGCGGATCGACTCGGCAGCGGGGGGCGTCACAGCTTCCTCGACCAGGGCTCGGACTGTTTCCCAGCTTTGCACACCACCAGAACCCAAGAGGGCAGCTCGCGTGTTTCTTGGCCCTCGATGGTCACGTCCGGCTGGCCGCGCACGGCCTTCGGCTGCGCCGCAAGAAACACAGGTGAAGCGTCGAGCCCCGCAGCGCCGTCTGGGCCCCCGCCCCCCCCCCCTTTTCGGGGGGTGCGCAGGTGTGGAACCTGAAGCTCGAGAGCAGTGGTGCCAGTCTCTGTATCCCGCCCTGCTCTGCGGATAAAAAGCGCTCAGGGCTCCAACCATCCACCCGAAGGGCGAGGGGAGGGGGGCGAGGGGCGACGGGAAGAGCGACGGGGAGGGCGAGGGGGGAGGCGCGGGGGGAGGAGGGGCCCAGACAGCGGGCGTCTCCGAAAAGAGGGGAACGGAGGCCTCCAGGGGCCTCGGGGCCGTCACAGAACGACGCGGGATGGAAACGCCGGTCCAGGGGAAACGGTCGGGGGCCCGCGCCTCGAAAAAGTCGAGGCGCCGGTTTTCTTGGGGGGGGAGGAGCGGATGGGGGAGGAGGAGCGGGCTGCGGGAGGCGGGAGGAGGAGTGAGAGAGGGGTGATGGGGGCGGGCCTGGGGGCCCCCTGTCCGCGAGCGGCGGCCGTCGGCCGGCGTTCGCTCGCCGAGGCTGTCGCTGGCCGCGCGGGCCTGGCGGCGGAGCTGCGCGCCCCCAGAGGAGCGGAGGGGGCGGGGGCGGGGCGCAGACACGCTCGCGTCGGAACAGAGGCAATCACGGCGGGAGGTTTCTGGCTGCTCCTGGCCTGCGGGGGCCTTCGCTGGGCCCCAGGGGGCCGTTCACAGAGCAACTCGCGAGGAACAGCGGGCCCGGGGAGGGGGTGGGGACTTTCGGGGGCCGCGTGTGGAAAAAATCAGGGCGTCGCAGGTCTGGGGGCGTGGGTGGGGAGGGGAGGAAGGAGCACCCGCGCCTCCTCTCTTTGTTCCCCAACCCTAAACAGTGATTGCACCTAGGGGATTTTGCTTGTTTCCCCAAGAAAGTGGCTGGGTCTGGCGAGGATTCTCCACGTTGCCGCCCGTTGCCGCTTCGCTGCTGCTTCGTGCGCTGGGTCCGGCGTCATTTCACCACGATGACGCCCGTTGCCGTCTCGCTGCCGCTTTTAGCCCAGCGACTTTCCGTCTCCCTGCGCAGGGAGAGCGCGCGGGCGGTGTTGCGGAGCCTCCAGACGCAGTCTGGAGGGGCGGGGGTGGCAGCGGCCCACCTGGCCGCGGCCACGGCTGCCTCCACGGCGGACGCCGAAACCGCAGCTTGCTGGGCTCGGTCGGCCACCCCGTCCAGGTCGCCGCCGTAGGGTCCGTAGCCTCGTCGCGGGTGGCTCTTCTCTCCCGGCCCCTGGCCCGGCCTGTCTGCTTGCGGTTGCTTCCCTTTCCCTCCTCCTTGTCCTCCTCCTCCCTCGCTTTCCGCTCGTTGTTTCCCTCCCTTCCCTGTCCTCCTGCTCCCTGCCTGCTGTTTCCGCCTGGCCCCTCCTGTGCCCGCCCGCCCGCCCCGCCGGCCGTGGCCTTCCTCCTGGGCGTTCGTCGTCGTCTGCCTGCTTCTCCCCTCCTCGTCCCTTCCGCGGGGCAGCACGGCCTGCCCGGGACCAGCGTGGCGGCATGTGGGGCTTCGGCCAAGAGGCCTGTCGGGATGATGACGGCGGACGTTTGCAGGCCGAGCCGCGCACCGCGTATATCCTGTTCTCACGAGGGTGATCGAGCCCCCCCCAGGGGCTATCCCCCCTGTTCGTATTGCGGTATGCATATCGTTATGTCTCATCGTTTGTTTCCATATGCAGTCAAACTGTCCCAAGCGACCGGGTATGGCTCCCCGCATCTTTGTCGAAAGAGACCATGCGGGCGCATTCGTTGATTTCAACACATTTTCGCAAGAGGCCTTTGCAGCAACGTTGCACGAAGTCCACACGCGCGCACATGTCGCTATTATAGTAAACTGATCAGTAGTGCAAACATTTCGACGTACGAGGTATGAGAGGAAACCCTTGGTTTTCCATTCTAAATCTGGCAGGTTTGCTGCCCGCGACCACTTGCTGACGTCATAGGAAAACCACATGATTGCGAAGGCCTTGCGGCCAGTGCCGCCGACCCTGGAGGGGACGACGAAGACGGGGGCGGCGGCAACGACGACGACGTTGACGTGGGTCAGAGTCCTCAGGGATGCTTCCTGGGGTCTCTTCGGAACGCTCTCGGGGGCCTCGGGGGGCAGTTTTGGGGCCTCTTGGGAGCCACTTGGGGGCCTCTTGGGTGCCTCTTGGGGGCGTCTTGGGGCTTCAGGGGGGGCACTTGGGGGCCTTTTGTGGCCTCTTGGGGGCCTCTTGAGAGCCTCCTGCCTCTCGGGGCCGAGGGCTCGAAATGTCCGTTCGGGTCCCCCGGCCGGACATCCTTTTGGAGCCGTCTTCGGAGCCTTTTGGGCCGTCTTGGAGGCCTCTTGGGCCGTCTTGGGGTCCTCTTGACTCGTTTTGGGGCCCTCTTGAAGGCCTACTGGGTCGGGTTGGGGCGATCTTGGGGGGCCGCTTCGGCCGTTTTGAAGCGTCAGGAGGGCGAACATGCGAGAACACCACCATTTTTCAGTTTGCCTCTGGGTGCCTTCTTGGAAGTGCTCTTGGAGGCCTTTCGGGGCGTTTTGGAGGCTTCTTGGGCCGTCTGGACGCTATATTGGGCGTCTTGGACCGATCATTTGGCGATTCGGGGTCCTCTTGGATCTCTCGGGGGCCTCTTGGGGCATTCTTTGTCCTCTTGCGGCCGTTCTGGATTCCCCCCCCCTCCCAGGCGGTATGGTTTCGAAGACGCCTACGGCGAATCACCACTGCCCCCTGCCTTTGGAATCGCCCATGTGGCCGAACGTTGTGGCCAGAGCTCTCCCAAGCTATCCCACCATGTGTTCCTTCAGCCGTTGTGGAAACCCTTCGGGGAGAGAGATAACAAGTGGAGGAGAGGGACGCCAATTTGAGAGGATGATGATGAAGATGATGATGATGGTGATGATGATGCTGCTGATGATGATGACGATGATGATGATGACGATGATGGTGATGATGCTGATGACGATGATGAGGGTGAGGATGATGATGAGGATGAGTATGATAATGATAATGATGATGCTCATGCTGATACTGATGCTGATGCTGATGCTGTGATGGATGCTTTTGATGGAGCTTATGCTGCTCATGGTGATGTCGATGCTGATGATGATGCTGATGAAGATGATGATGATGAATATGAAGGTGATGCTCATGATGATGATGCTTATTATGATGACGATGATGGCGATGGTGATGACGATGCTGCTGCTGATGCTACTGCTGATCATGATGCTGATGCTGATGTTGCTGCTGATGATGATGCTGATGCTGCTGCTTATGATGATGATATTGCTGATGCCGTTGATGATGAGGATGATGATGATGATGCTGATCATGATGTTGATGCTGATGATTCCGATGATGATGATGCTGATGCTGCTGATGATGCTGGTGATGATGACTATGGTGATGATAATGATGATGATGCTGATGATGATGATGATGACGATGATGATGCGGAGGAGGAGGAAGAGGCGGAGGAGGAATACTATTACTAATAAGAATAACAATGATAATAATAATCGTAATACTAGTAATACAAAGAAAATAATAACACTAATTGTACGAACACTATTAATACTAATACGAATCCTGCTACGAATGAGAACACCACTCATTCTGATAGTATTATCCATAATAAGAGTATCAATTCTAATACTAATAATGTTACTACTAGTAATAAGAATAATAATGCGAACCCTACTAGTAGTAATACTAATACTATTAGTAAGACTAATAATACACTAGTACTATTATGCATAATACTACGAATAGTAAGAATAATAATACTGATAATACTAATAGCAACAATACTATCAATGATATAGTGCTGAATATATTACTCATATTTATATATATATATACTGATCATACTAAGAATAATAGTACTACGAAGTCTAATCATAATTACACGACTACAATTAATAATAGTACTAATACGAATAATCAGCATACTAATACTACTACCAGTACTACTATTAACATTAATACCAATAATAGTAATAGTAATACTATTAGTGTTACTACCAATAGTAGTACTAGTAATGCTAAGACCAACCATCATACTACCAATACTACTACTAATATTAATTATGTTAATATTAATAATGATGATACTATTAATTTTTATACTAATGCTACTACTAATAGTAATACTACTAATCATATTAATACTACTACTAATGCTGACAACCATACTGATTATATTAATAATACTAATAGGAATTCGTATAATACGAAGAAACAGGGGTGGAGGAGGAGGAGGAGGGGGAGGAGGAGGGGGAGGAGGAGGAGGAGGAGGAGGAGGATGAGGAGGAGGAGGAGGATGAACGGGGAGGAGGATGAGGAGGAGGAGGAGGAGGAGGAAAGAGGAAGATGAATGATGATGATGATGATGATGATGATGATGATGATGATGATGATGATGATGAGATGATGATGATGATGATGATGATGATGATGATGATGATGATGATGATGATGATGATGATGATGATGAGATGATGATGATGATGAGGAGGAGGAGGAGGAGGAGGAGGAGGAGGAGGAGGAGGAGGAGGAGGAGGGGGAGGAAGAAGAGGATGCGAGGGAGGAGGCTGAGGAGGAGGAAGAGCAGAGGAGGAGAGGAGGAGGAGGAGGGGAGGAGGAGGAGGAGGAGGAGGAGGAGGAGGAGGAGGGAGGAGGATGAGGAGGCGGAGGAGGAGGAGGAGGAGGAAGAACAAGAGGAAGATAATGAGGAGGAGGAGGAGGAGGAGGAGGAGGAGGAGGAGGAGGAGGAGAGGAGGAGGGGGAGGAAGAAGAGGAGGCCAGGGAGGAGGCCGAGGAGGAGGAAGAGGAGGAGGAGGGGAGGAGGAGGAGGAGGAGGAGGAGGGAGGAGGAGGAGGAGGAGGAGGAGGAGGAGGAGGAGGAGGAGGGGGAGGAGGAGGAGGAGGAGGAGGAGGAGGAGGAGGAGGAGGAGGAGGAGGAGGAGGAGGACTCGTGTAGTCTTCGGGGAGCTTCTCGTGGGCCTCTCAGAGGCCTCTCGGAAGCCTCCTTGGGCGCCTCTTTGGGGCCTTCGGAGGCTTCTCGGGGGCCTTTTTGGTTGTCTTATGGCATTCCTGGTCCGTCTGACGCCGTCGAAACCTGTCTAGCCGACTTGGGGGCCTTTCTGGACCGACTTAGGGCCCTCTTGGGGCGCTTCAGGGCCGTTGTGGAGGACACCATGGGCGTCTTGGAGGCCTCTTGGGCTGTTTTGGGGCCCTCTTGGGGCCGTTTTGGAGGCGTCTTGGGCCGTTATGGGATCATCTTGGAGGCCTTTGGGGCCAATTTGGGGCGATCTCGGGGCCCTCTTGGGCCGTCTTGGGCCGTCGGAAGGCGGAAAAGAAGCAAAGGGCAAAATTGTTCAACAACCTAGGTAACAGGACCTCTCCGGGACCTCCCTGGGGAGGTCCTGGGGACGCTCCCCAGGACCTCCCCGGGACCCCCCATCAACGGCGGGGAAGGGATCAAAGGAAAGGAGCTTCCCTTCGACTCAACTACGACGTTGCTCAATTTCGCTTTGGCTGGCGCGCTTGATGAGGATGACGTAGGAAAAGAGGGGGGGAGCGGCGACGGCTACGGCGACGGCGACGGCGACGACGACGACGGCGACGGCGACGCCGACCTCGAGACGACGACGAGTCAAACGAAGCATCGTCTTGCATAGGCCGACAGGGTCGGCGGATTTGGGATGCCTCCTGGGCCGTGTTGGGCGGTCGGAAACCCAACGAGGCGAGAACCTCAAAACCCTTCAGCAGCCTGCGGAAGCACGCTGTTCCTCGCCTCCTCGGGCTCTCTGGGAGGGCCTCTTGGGCCCTCGGAGGCCGTCTTGGAGGACCTACTGCAGAGCCTGACGCGCCCCTCGAGGATCCCGCGGCGCGTTGGAGACACGGGCACCCTGCCCCGTGAGACCCGGGGAGGTGTGCACGCCAGTCGCTCCGCGAAGTCCTCGGGGGACGCGCCTCCAGATCGCCGCGGGACCCCCTCGGGGAGCGAGGCGCCGCGGGCACCTCCTCGGGGAGCGAGGCGCCGAGGGCTGCCGCGGGCCAGCCTTTTGCGAGAGCGCCGCGCCCCCGCAATCACTTTCCCCGAGCGGCCGCGCCCCTGGGACTTCTCGTTTTGGCCCCGCTCCCTCGTGCGCAGGCGGCGGGGGTTCGGCCACTCGGGCGATTCCAAAAGGCAGGGGGCGGTGGTGATTCGCCGTAGGCGTCTTCGAAGCCATCCCTCCTGGGGGGTGCCGGAATCCAGAGCGGCCCCAAGAGGACCAAGAATGCCCCAGGAGGCCCCCGAGAGATCCAAGAGGACTTTGAATCGCCAAATGATCGGTCCAAGACGCCCAGGATAGCCTCCGGACGGCCCAAGGGGCCTCCAAGACGCCCCTGGAGGCCTCGCGCGGCCCGGGCTTTGGCCGTGCGGCGGCCTCGGCGCGCCGGGAGGCCCGCAGAGGGCGCGGGAGGCGGCAGGAGGCCCCGCGGAGGGCTCCAGGACCAGCGCAGCCCTGTGGGCTCAAGCCGTGGTGGCCCGCGTGGCTCGGCTGCGGCTGCTTCCGCAGAAGCCGGTGCTGCTCCACACACACACACACACACACCTGCCGGACAGACGCCTTGTGCTCGCCACAGGCCCCCGTAGAGGTCCAGGCCGACGCAATGGCGGTGGGTAGGAAGGCACCACGGGCCCTGTGCCCGATGATGCTGATGGTGTTGGCACCCTGGACCCACGCCATCGTCGTCACACACGACGCCTCGAAGGTTCAAGCCATCACCAACGTGACTTCCACATACAGTGGGCCTCACACGGGGCGATGCCTGGGCGAGCATACCTCGTGGCCTGTGGGCGGCAAAGGTCAAGCGTTCACTTCAGCGCTCAGGGAAGCAGCAGAATCATGGTGCAACTCCCGCAGCGATTGCCACGGCTTCATGCACTACGATATCTCCGTCAGCTACTCTGTGAGCCCAAGCTACTGCTGCCACTCGGGCGCGTGCAATGACTGGTGCGGGAGGCCGCAGTTCTGTATGACAGCCACGGAAGCGAGCCAGGTTACGCCAAATAATGGCTGGGTGTCGTACTTGAAGCCAGGCTTGACGGAGGCTCCGACTCCGTCCCCCACGCCGTCCCCCACGCCGTCCCCCACGCCGTCCCCCACGCCGTCCCCCACGCCGTCCCCCACGCCGTCCCCCACGCCGTCCTCCCCGAGCGGCGCGGCGGCTGCTGTTGGTGATCCCCACCTTCAAAATATCTACGGCGAGCGGTATGACTTGATGAAGGTCGGCCAGCACGTGTTGATACAGGTCCCTCGCGGGCAGGGCCCTGAGCACGCGCTGCTTCGCGTGGTGGCCGAGGCGCGCCGGTTGGGCGAACACTGTGCGGATATCTACTTCCAGAAGATAAACATCACAGGGTCTTGGGCGCTGGCAAGCAGGAGAGGAGGGTACCAGTACGTGTCGGGCACTGTCGCTGACGAGACTCCAGAATGGCTTACTCTCGGTAAGGTAATGGTGAAAGTCGTGCATGGACGCACGCAAAGTGGCACTGACTACTTGAACATTTACGCCAAACATCTGGGGCGAGCAGGGCGTCCTGTGGGAGGCCTGCTCGGGGGGGACGACCACAGCGACGAAGCCACGCCTCCGGCGGAATGTGAGCATCTTATTGGTCTTCGTTCCGAGGCCCGTGGCGTGTCTATCCAGAGTTCGTCCACACCATCGATAGGGTTCGCAACGCTCGCTTGATCATGGTCCCTGAAAATGATACGAAGGTGGCGTAGGAGGTCCGCTACAGGTTTACGCCGGATCCGCCAGCCTCTTGAATTAGGTTGTTTGTGGTTCCGTTTTCTGTGGGTTGCTTGGTCACTGGTTTGGGTCGGTTTGGAGGCCGCCTGGGCCGTCCTTGCCGCTTCGTCTGCGTCTTGAGAGCCATCTTCGATTGTGGAGGGTCCGTTTGGGGGCCCTTTGGAGGGCGGGTGGGTTTAACTTGGGGCAATTGCAGATATGATGTTTCGTGCGACCTTGTGAGTTTGAAGGGCGCTGGAGCTGGCGAGAACGCGAACTGGACAAACATGATGCGCCGCAATCAGATTTTGGGGCTCGGGGGGACGGGTTGGAGCCCTCTGGGGCTATCCTGGAGTTTTTTTTTGGGGCCTCTTTGGCCGTCTCTGGGCGATGTTGAGGGCCTTCAGGGCCTTCTTGGACGTAGTCAGGGCCGAAGAGGCGAAGCTGGTGAACATATGCGCTGGCGTAGAGGGATGAGGAGACGAATTTTGCTGCTTGGAGCTCTCCTTGGAATTGTCTGGGAGGCCTCTTGGGTCTCTGTTGGGGTCCTCGCGGAGCCACTTGGGGTACTCTTGGGACCCTCTTGGCGCTCTTTTGGGGGTTCCAGGGGACCTCTTGGGGCTCTTTGGGGAGGTCTGGGAGGCCTCTTGAGGCGATTTCGGGCTCTCTGTCCAAAAAGCTGGGAGTCTGGAAATTCAGCCCCCCCCTCGGAGGCCGTCTCGGGGCGCTCTCGGGGCGCTCGTGGGGCGCTCTTGGGCGCTCTTGGGCCCACTGGGGCCTCCGAGGCCCGCCGGAAGCGAAAAGGCGAGACGGCAAACATCATCAATTTTCCGTAGATTTTGGAGCCATTTCTGCCTCTTGGGGGGGTCCTTGGAGGGCTCGGAGGGCACTTGAAACGGTCCTGGGGCCGTGTTGAGGCCGCTTGGCTGTGCGTCGGAGGCTATCTTGAGCCATTCTTGAGTTATCTTGAGCCATCTTGGAGGCCACCTTGGGGTCTCTGAGACCCTCCTGGAGCCATCTTGGGCGATCTTGGGGGCCTCTGGCGCCTCGTGGCCCCCCACCCCCTCCCATGCCCAGGTAGGTTTACCCCTCCCCCGAGCAGGGGAAGGAGGGACTTTGGGCAGAGAGAAGACAAAACTCGTTAAACCACCTACGCCCAGAGGGCTGGTGTGATTCAAGGAGGAGGGGATCCGTGTTCGTGTGTGTGTGTGTGTGTGTACTTTTCGTGTCCCTTCTCTTTCCTCGTCGCTTGCCTGCTTTCTTTGCCCTTTCCTCCATGTTCTTCCTCCTCGGTCATTGCCTTCCTTCTGAAGTGGGGAGGGCTTCTTAGGGGAGTATGCGCGAATCTTGGCCTCCTGGGAGCCACGATTCGCTGTGCGCTCTCGCTTGGTGATGCTGTCGCTTGTCTGCTGACGTCGGCATAGGCGCCGTCTCGTACACGTGTTCTGGGCGCCAGGGCGGGCAGAGTACGGTGGGGGCGTTGATTGAGGAATGTGCCCGTGGGGCTTCAGACTTTGTGTGATTCTTTATCTGATGAGGGCGGCGGCGATAGCCCTGGCCAATTCGCGATTGGAGTTCCACCGGCTTCCGGGCTCTGGATTCCTCATCCGCTGGTTCCCCATCTGAGGCCCCTTACCGTAGAGGAACCAAGACCTGCCTACAGACAGAACCCCTCGGAGCCCCGCGCGGACTTCTTGGACCGGTGTACTGCCGCGCGCAAGCGTGCGCGCGGAACTAAGGAAAAAACGATTGGAGGTCGCCACAGGCGGGGGCGGAAGTCATCTCCAGACGACAGGGTGCCATCTGGGATCGTCTAGGGGGCCTCTCGGGGACTTCCTGGGCCGCCTGCGGCGCCTTGTGGGCCGTACTGTGAGCATATCTTTCGAAGAACACTTACGCTCTCCTTCTCTTATGTTGCCCTTCTTCATGCTTTTCGGTTTCTTCCTGATTCTCAAGTTTTTTCTAGGTTCTAACCTACGATCGGTTGTTCCTGCTGTGCAGCTCGACGGCGACGTGGGGCCATCTTGGGCTGGGTGGGTTACTTGTTGGGCCGTCGTGGGGCCCTCTCGGGGGCCTCTTGTTGGCCAGTCGCGGGTCGCTGTTCAGGGCCTCTGAAGACCTTTGCCGAACAGTGTCAGCGTTCCCGCGGGAATGGGCCCATTTCTGCTCGGTGGGGCCCTCGTGGGGAGCCCTCTGGGGGCCCTCGGGTGGCGTCTTGGAGGCGCCGTGGGCTGTCTTGAAGCCATCTCAGGGCGACTGGGTGCCATCTGGGAGCGTCTAGGAACCCCTAAGAGCCGTTTCGAAGCCATGCTGCAGGCCGTCCAGGAGCATCTTTGAGGCGGTCGAGGCCGCCGGCCCTTTTCGGACACCCCCTCCGCCTCCAAAGGGGCCGGACGGAGCCCCCCCGGAGAGGAGTGCGGGGAGGGGCAGCAGCCCCACGCGCCGTAGACCCCACGGGGTCGGCGGATTCAGGGCCACGTCCTCCCCGGGCGAGTTTGGCGGCGCCGTGCAGGGCGCCGCGCCTGGAGTTGTTGCTGTCTGAGTTAGGAGAGCACGTGAGGGAAGACGTAGGGAGGCAGCGTAGTAGCGCCGCAGTCGATCGGCACAGTCTTCTGTCATACTTTTGTATACGTGCATTGCGTACCGAAAGATGTCCCATCCCACATCTCTTTCTGCCTCTTGCTATCCACTTCTTGTCATTGCTATTGCATGCCTCACGGCCTAACCAACCACTGATCTCCCCAGATCAAGTTGGTAGCGGAGCGGGCTCTGCCAGTCAACTTTCGCACGCAGCGTCGCCAGAGGAATTGTGGAAATCTCGGACAATGCGGAAATGCGCAATCGACGCGCCATTGCACAATTTGTGTTTCCAAATGCGTGCAACGTATTTGTGGCCCTGACGTTTTGCGGCGGACGTCGCAAGTATGATAGCCACAGTTGTCTGGCAGCCCGTCGCCGTCGCCGTCGCCGTTGCCGTCGCCGTCGCCGTCGCCGTCGTCGTCGTCGTCGTCGTCGTCGTCGTCGCCGTCGCCGTCGCCGTCGCCGTCGCCGTCGCCGTCGCCGTCGCCGTTGCCGTCGCCGTCGCCGCTCCCTCCCTCTTTCCCTGCGTCCACCTCCTCAAGCGAGCCAGCCAAAACGAAATTGAGCAACGTCGTAGTTGAGTCGAAGGGAAGCTCCTTTCCTTTGATCCTTCCCCCCGCCAGTGATGGGGGGGTCCCGGGGAGGTCCTGGGGAGCGTCCCCGGAAGGGGGGTCCCGGGTCAGAATCCGCCGCCCCCTTTTGATTTATCACAGGGGTGCCTGGCGTGCTAAATCCTATACTCGGCTTGGTTTGGTTTTTCCAAAAGAACCCCCCCTGGGGCTTCGGCCCAGCGCGCTAGCCACTCGGAAGATGTACGTGTCAATGCCGCTCTCGCCCGCCCTAAGTGGCCCAAAATGGATTCCAAGATGCTTCCCAGACGGCCGAGATGGCCCAAGATGCCTCCAATACGGCCAAGATGGCGCCACGAGGGCCCACGATGGCCCCCAGATGCACCCAGGACGGCCCAAGATGGCCTCAAGACGACTCAAGGGGCCTCCAAGAGGTCCTCCAGGAGGGCCCGAAGAGGGCCAAATCATTGATTTTACCTAGGTTGTTGAACAATTTTGCACTTTGCTTCTTTTCCGCCTTCCGACGGCCAAGACGGCCCAAGAGGGCCCCGAGATCGCCCCAAGATAGACCCAGAGGCCTCCAAGATAACCCCACAACGGCCTAAGAAACTCCAAAACGGCCCCAAGAGGGCCCCAAAACAGCCCAAGAGGCCTCCAAAACGCCCATGGTGGCCTCCACGACGGCCATCAAGCGCCCCAAGAGGGCCCCAAGTCGGTCCAGAAAGGCCCTCAAGACGGCTAGACGGGTTCCGACGGCGTCAGACGGGCCAGGAACGCCATAAGATAACCACAGAGGCCCCCGAGAAGCCTCAAAAGGCCCCCAAGAGGCGCCCAAGGAGGCTTCCGAGAGGCCTCTGAGAGGCCCACAATAAGCTCCCAGAAGACTACAAGAGTCCCCCTCCTCCTCCTCAGTCTCCTCCCTCGCCTCCTCTTCCTCCTTCTCTTCCTCTTCCTCCTCCTCCTCCTCGTCCTCCTCCTCCTCCTCCTCATCATCAACATCATCATCATCAGCGTCATCATCAGCAGCATCATCCTCATCATCAGCAACATCATCATCATCATTTGCATCATCAGCATCCTCCTCCTCATCATCAGCATCATCATCTGCATCATCTGCATCATCAGCAGCATCATCACCATCATCACCATCACCATCATCGTCATCATGACCTTCATGCTCAGCATCATCATCAACATCATCATGAGCATTATCATCATCAGCAACATCAGCAGCAACATCATCATCATCAACATCATCAGCACCAGCATCAACATCATCATCATCTTCATTCGCATCCTCATCCTCATTATCCTTAACCTCATCCTCATCATCAGCATCATCATCAGCATTAGCATCATCACCATCATCATCGTCATCATCTTCCTTCTCATCCTCATCCTCGTCCTCCTCCTCCTCCTCCTCCTCCTCCTCCTCATCATCATCATCATCATCATCATCATCATCATCATCATCATCATCCTCATCATCATCATCATCTCTATTTGTCCTCCCCCTCCTCCACTTCTTCTTTTTCCCCCTCTGTGTTCCCCGAAGGGTTTCCACAACGGCTGGGCGAACACATGGTGGTGTAGCTTGGCAGAGCTCTGGCCGCAACGTTCGGCCACACGGGCGAGTCCAAAAGGCAGGGGGCGGTGGTGATTCGCCGTAGGCGTCTTCGAAGCCATCCCTCCTGGGGGGTGCCGGAATCCAGAGCGGCCCCAAGAGGACCAAGAATGCCCCAGGAGGCCCCCGAGAGATCCAAGAGGACTTTGAATCGCCAAATGATCGGTCCAAGACGCCCAAGATAGCCTCCGGACGGCCCAAGGGGCCTCCAAGACGCCCCTGGAGGCCTCGCGCGGCCCGGGCTTTGACCGTGCGGCGGCCTCGGCGCGCCGGGAGGCCCGCAGGGGGCGCGGGAGGCGGCAGGAGGCCCTGCAGAGGGCTCCAGGACCAGCGCAGCCCTGTGGGCTCAAGCCGTGGTGGCCCGCGTGGCTCGGCTGCGGCTGCTTCCGCAGAAGCCGGTGCTGCTCCACACACACACACACACATACACCTGCCGGGCAGACGCCTTGTGCTCGCCACAGGCCCCCGTAGAGGTCCAGGCCGACGCAATGGCGGTGGCTAGGAAGGCACCACGGGCCCTGTGCCCGATGATGCTGATGGTGTTGGCACCCTGGACCCACGCCATCGTCGTCACACACGACGCCTCGAAGGTTCAAGCCATCACCAACGTGACTTCCACATACAGTGGGCCTCACACGGGGCGATGCCTGGGCGAGCATACCTCGTGGCCTGTGGGCGGCGCAGGTCAAGCGTTCACTTCAGCGCTCAGGGAAGCAGCAGAATCATGGTGCAACTCCCGCAGCGATTGCCACGGCTTCATGCACTACGATATCTCCGTCAGCTACTCTGTGAGCCCAAGCTACTGCTGCCACTCGGGCGCGTGCAATGACTGGTGCGGGAGGCCGCAGTTCTGTATGACAGCCACGGAAGCCAGCCAGGTTACGCCAAATAATGGCTGGGTGTCGTACTTGAAGCCAGGCTTGACGGAGGCTCCGACTCCGTCCCCCACGCCGTCCCCCACGCCGTCCCCCACGCCGTCCCCCACGCCGTCCCCCACGCCGTCCCCCACGCCGTCCTCCACGAGCGGCGCGGCGGCTGCTATTGGTGATCCCCACCTTCAAAATATCTACGGCGAGCGGTATGACTTGATGAAGGTCGGCCAGCACGTGTTGATACAGGTCCCTCGCGGGCAGGGCCCTGAGCACGCGCTGCTTCGCGTGGTGGCCGAGGCGCGCCGGTTGGGCGAACACTGTGCGGATATCTACTTCCAGAAGATAAACATCACAGGGTCTTGGGCGCTGGCAAGCAGGAGAGGAGGGTACCAGTACGTGTCGGGCACTGTCGCTGACGAGACTCCAGAATGGCTTACTCTCGGTAAGGTAATGGTGAAAGTCGTGCATGGACGCACGCAAAGTGGCACTGACTACTTGAACATTTACGCCAAACATCTGGGGCGAGCAGGGCGTCCTGTGGGAGGCCTGCTCGGGGGGGACGACCACAGCGACGAAGCCACGCCTCCGGCGGAATGTGAGCATCTTATTGGTCTTCGTTCCGAGGCCCGTGGCGTGTCTATCCAGAGTTCGTCCACACCATCGATAGGGTTCGCAACGCTCGCTTGATCATGGTCCCTGAAAATGATACGAAGGTGGCGTAGGAGGTCCGCTACAGGTTTACGCCGGATCCGCCAGCCTCTTGAATTAGGTTGTTTGTGGTTCCGTTTTCTGTGGGTTGCTTGGTCACTGGTTTGGGTCGGTTTGGAGGCCGCCTGGGCCGTCCTTGCCGCTTCGTCTGCGTCTTGAGAGCCATCTTCGATTGTGGAGGGTCCGTTTGGGGGCCCTTTGGAGGGCGGGTGGGTTTAACTTGGGGCAATTGCAGATATGATGTTTCGTGCGACCTTGTGAGTTTGAAGGGCGCTGGAGCTGGCGAGAACGCGAACTGGACAAACATGATGCGCCGCAATCAGATTTTGGGGCTCGGGGGGACGGGTTGGAGCCCTCTGGGGCTATCCTGGAGTTTTTTTGGGGGGCCTCTTTGGCCGTCTCTGGGCGATGTTGAGGGCCTTCAGGGCCTTCTTGGACGTAGTCAGGGCCGAAGAGGCGAAGCTGGTGAACATATGCGCTGGCGTAGAGGGATGAGGAGACGAATTTTGCTGCTTGGAGCTCTCCTTGGAATTGTCTGGGAGGCCTCTTGGGTCTCTGTTGGGGTCCTCGCGGAGCCACTTGGGGTACTCTTGGGACCCTCTTGGCGCTCTTTTGGGGGTTCCAGGGGACCTCTTGGGGCTCTTTGGGGAGGTCTGGGAGGCCTCTTGAGGCGATTTCGGGCTCTCTGTCCAAAAAGCTGGGAGTCTGGAAATTCAGCCCCCCCCTCGGAGGCCGTCTCGGGGCGCTCTCGGGGCGCTCGTGGGGCGCTCTTGGGCGCTCTTGGGCCCACTGGGGCCTCCGAGGCCCGCCGGAAGCGAAAAGGCGAGACGGCAAACATCATCAATTTTCCGTAGATTTTGGAGCCATTTCTGCCTCTTGGGGGGGTCCTTGGAGGGCTCGGAGGGCACTTGAAACGGTCCTGGGGCCGTGTTGAGGCCGCTTGGCTGTGCGTCGGAGGCTATCTTGAGCCATTCTTGAGTTATCTTGAGCCATCTTGGAGGCCACCTTGGGGTCTCTGAGACCCTCCTGGAGCCATCTTGGGCGATCTTGGGGGCCTCTGGCGCCTCGTGGCCCCCCACCCCCTCCCATGCCCAGGTAGGTTTACCCCTCCCCCGAGTAGGGGAAGGAGGGACTTTGGGCAGAGAGAAGACAAAACTCGTTAAACCACCTACGCCCAGAGGGCTGGTGTGATTCAAGGAGGAGGGGATCCGTGTTTGTGTGTGTGTGTGTGTGTGTGTACTTTTCGTGTCCCTTCTCTTTCCTCGTCGCTTGCCTGCTTTCTTTGCCCTTTCCTCCATGTTTTTCCTCCTCGGTCATTGCCTTCCTTCTGAAGTGGGGAGGGCTTCTTAGGGGAGTATGCGCGAATCTTGGCCTCCTGGGAGCCACGATTCGCTGTGCGCTCTCGCTTGGTGATGCTGTCGCTTGTCTGCTGACGTCGGCATAGGCGCCGTCTCGTACACGTGTTCTGGGCGCCAGGGCGGGCAGAGTACGGTGGGGGCGTTGATTGAGGAATGTGCCCGTGGGGCTTCAGACTTTGTGTGATTCTTTATCTGATGAGGGCGGCGGCGATAGCCCTGGCCAATTCGCGATTGGAGTTCCACCGGCTTCCGGGCTCTGGATTCCTCATCCGCTGGTTCCCCATCTGAGGCCCTTACCGTAGAGGAACCAAGACCTGCCTACAGACAGAACCCCTCGGAGCTCCGCGCGGACTTCTTGGACCGGTGTACTGCCGCGCGCAAGCGTGCGCGCGGAACTAAGGAAAAGACGATTGGAGGTCGCCACAGGCGGGGGCGGAAGTCATCTCCAGACGACAGGGTGCCATCTGGGATCGTCTAGGGGGCCTCTCGGGGACTTCCTGGGCCGCCTGCGGCGCCTTGTGGGCCGTACTGTGAGCATATCTTTCGAAGAACACTTACGCTCTCCTTATTTTATGTTGCCCTTCTTCATGCTTTTCGTTTTCTTTATTCTCAAGTTTTTTCTAGGTTCTAACCTACGATCGGTTGTTCCTGCTGTGCAGCTCGACGGCGACGTGGGGCCATCTTGGGCTGGGTGGGGTACTTGTTGGGCCGTCGTGGGGCCCTCTCGGGGGCCTCTTGTTGGCCAGTCGCGGGTCGCTGTTCAGGGCCTCTGAAGACCTTTGCCGAACAGTGTCAGCGTTCCCGAGGGAATGGGCCCATTTTTGCTCGGTGGGGCCCTCGTGGGGAGCCCTCTGGGGGCCCTCGGGTGGCGTCTTGGAGGCGCCGTGGGCTGTCTTGAAGCCATCTCAGGGCGACTGGGTGCCATCTGGGAGCGTCTAGGAACCCCTGAGAGCCGTTTCGAAGCCATGCAGGCAGGCCGTCCAGGAGCATCTTTGAGGCGGTCGAGGCCGCCGGCCCTTTTCGGACACCCCCTCCGCCTCCAAAGGGGCCGGACGGAGCCCCCCGGAGAGGAGTGCGGGGAGGGGCAACAGCCCCACGCGCCGTAGACCCCACGGGGTCGGCGGATTCAGGGCCACGTCCTCCCCGGGCGAGTTTGGCGGCGCCGTGCAGAGCGCCGCGCCTGGAGTTGTTGCTGTCTGAGTTAGGAGAGCACGTGAGGGAAGACGTAGGGAGGCAGCGTAGTAGCGCCGCAGTCGATCGGCACAGTCTTCTGTCATACTTTTGTATACGTGCATTGCGTACCGAAATATGTCCCATCCCACATCTCTTTCTGCCTCTTGCTATCCACTTCTTGTCATTGCTATTGCATGCCTCACGGCCTAACCAACCACTGATCTCCCCAGATCAAGTTGGTAGCGGAGCGGGCTCTGCCAGTCAACTTTCGCACGCAGCGTCGCCAGAGGAATTGTGGAAATCTTGGACAATGCGGAAATGCGCAATCGACGCGCCATTGCACAATTTGTGTTTCCAAATGCGTGCAACGTATTTGTGGCCCTGACGTTTTGCGGCGGACGTCGCAAGTATGATAGCCCAAAGTTTTCTGGCAGCTCCGTCGCCGTCGCCGTCGCCGTTGCCGTCGCCGTCGCCGTCGCCGTCGTCGTCGTCGTCCGTCGTCGTCGTCGTCGTCGTCGCTCGTCGCGTCGCCGTCGCCGTCGCCGTCGCCGTCGCGTCGCCGTTGCCGATCGCCGTCGCCGCTCCCTCCCCTTTCTGCGTTCCACCTCCTCAGCGAGCCAACGCCAAGCCAAAGCGAAATGATTCCCTAGGCCCGTTCTAGTTTGAGTCGAAGGGAAGCTCCTTTCCTTTGATCCTTTCCCTTCCCCGCCAAGTGATGGGGGGGTCCGGGGGGTCCTGGGGAGCGTCCCGCGAAGGGGGGTCGGTTCCCGGGTCAGAATCCGCCGCCCCCCTTTGATTTATACAGGGGTGCCTGGGTGCTAAATCTATACTCGGCTTGGTTTTGGTTTTTTCCAAAAAGAACCCCCCTGGGGCTTCGCCCAGCGCGCTAGCCAATCGGAAGACTGTACGTGTCAATGCCGCTCTCGCCCGCCCTAAGTGGCCCAAAATGGATTCCAAGATGCTTCCCAGACGGCCGAGATGGCCCAAGATGCCTCCAATACGGCCAAGATGGCGCCACGAGGGCCCACGATGGCCCCCAGATGCACCCAGGACGGCCCAAGATGGCCTCAAGACGACTCAAGGGGCCTCCAAGAGGTCCTCCAGGAGGGCCCGAAGAGGGCCAAATCATTGATTTTACCTAGGTTGTTGAACAATTTTGCACTTTGCTTCTTTTCCGCCTTCCGACGGCCAAGACGGCCCAAGAGGGCCCCGAGATCGCCCCAAGATAGACCCAGAGGCCTCCAAGATAACCCCACAACGGCCTAAGAAACTCCAAAACGGCCCCAAGAGGGCCCCAAAACAGCCCAAGAGGCCTCCAAAACGCCCATGGTGGCCTCCACGACGGCCATCAAGCGCCCCAAGAGGGCCCCAAGTCGGTCCAGAAAGGCCCTCAAGACGGCTAGACGGGTTCCGACGGCGTCAGACGGGCCAGGAACGCCATAAGATAACCAAAGAGGCCCCCGAGAAGCCTCAAAAGGCCCCCAAGAGGCGCCCAAGGACTTTAAACGGAGAGGGTTAAAGGCGAGATGTAAATCGAACATGCACCGCTGCCGTGCCTGGCTCAAGCCGGGCCCGGCCGAACATGTGATTGTGCCTCACCGAGGCGCACTACTCGCATCTGAGATCGGAAAAGACCTTTCTATTGAAGATGCCCCTTCTAACCTTTACTCCAGATCCCATGCTTCATCTTGCTCTCTTGCTCATGCGGTATGAGCCAAAGCCTGGGATATGGGAGCGCCTAAGGCGGAACATATATCTTGGCTTACCAGTGCGTTTTCGACTTGGTAGCGGAGCTGGCTACACTCTCGTGTGGCTGGCTCTCGCTCTAATACCCATCATCCACGGCACAGTTTGGTGGACTACTACTACGGTGGAATACCATGTTGCGCCGGCTCTGCGAGGAGCGGAGCCAGTCCGCGATCGGGCTAGCGGGGCGACCCGCGAGCTCGAGACGCTCTCTCCTACCTCACTGCGCTACTTCACTCCCGACTTCCACCAGATGCCAATCGGCAACTCGATCGAGAACGTGGTCACTCTGCGGGGCTACCCGCAGCGGGGCCACTGCATCCCGTGCCGGTCAGGCGCCTTACGGCTACTACGCCCGAGCCTGACAAACCACAGCCTAAACCAATCACCGAAGCCGAGATGCACATGCACTGGATCAAGATAACTATCTTCGGCATTCTATGGGTGATAATGGGATGTGCTGTGGGCTACATGCGGCAGGGGATGGACGACACGCGTACTACCGGCCCATCTTGGGACCCAGCCGGTACTACGCCCTTTCGCGAGTACGTTCGCGAAGTACATGCATGGATAAACGTGACGAGCGGCAATATGACGCCACCTCAGCAAGCTGCAGCACTACAACGTGGTCTTCAAGGCCTTGCTCGTCGTATCGCCATGCAGATCCCCTCCCAGATCATCAATTATGGTGTAAATGTCAACGGACAGCCAACGGATGCAATTACTTATATACTTTATCTATTGAGTACCAAATTTGAAAATCTGGAAGATGAGCGCCAGTACTCTTTTTTTTATCCTTTTCTCTTTTTTTTTCTTTTCATTTTCTCTTTCTTTGTTTTTTTTTTTTTATCTTTTTTTCTTACTCAACTCTGGCACGCTTTTTTTTTTTTTTTTTCTTTTTTTTTTTTTTTTTTTTTTTTTTTTTTTATGTTTTTTTTCTTTTTTTTTTTTTTTTTTTTTTTTTTTATTTTTATTTTTATGCTGGTTTTTATTTTATTTATCGACCTTCGCGTCGAAAGGGGCGAGCGAATCGACTCAGTGTTAGCTCGATTCGAGATGGCCCGTGACGAGGCTAACTCTGTTGGATTTGTCATCCCCAACTTTCAGATCCTAACGCTGATCCTTTTCAGAGCGTTAGGCGTTGGCGCGTCACGAGCCCAACACCTGCTGGAACCCTTCAATCATCAGATGCCCAGAACGCAAGCAGACTATGATAGGCTGCTGACCAGGATGAGGAACTACGGGCATGTTGCCGAGCGCTCTCCTGGCAACATTGCGGGCATCTTCGCAGGGCACCACGCACATGCAGGTGTCTACGCCACGACTGCGGGGTCACCCGCTGGTCCTGGCGAGCTAAGTCCCTGGGCTGATTCAGCCGATATGCCCGACGAGGCCACTGCCCTCTTAGGGCAGACCGGCCAGGCATCGGCAGAGGCAGCGGAGGCGAACGCCTGGTCGAACTATACGCCGGGCGCCGCCTACACTGCAAGCCCGCCCTCGGGCACAACCCTCTGGGGCCAAGCGGAGTCATCCGCTCAATGGTCTCAGCCACCCTCTCCGTTTGAATCTGGCACTGACACAGATGCCTCATCTGACGGTGATCGCAATGGTATGGTCTCTGCTGGCAATGACTATCCAGCTGATGACACTCACCTTTCTGAACAACAAAGAGCGGAAGCCGCTTTTATGGCTTATCGCAAATCAAAACGCCGTTGGAGGCGCATTATGAAGAAACCGGTCAGAAAAGTGAGACGTGCAGTGCGCCGATATTTCAAACGCTATGGAAAGGGTCGTGGCAAAGGGGGTCGCAGACGCCGTATGCATGGTAGGGGTATCACTGCTTTCCTCACGTCCTTAACTGATATAGTTTTTGAAGAAGTTCTTATCGGAGGCAAAGGTCGGGGTCACAGGCGGACCTCTGGTAAGGGAAAAGGGCGGAGGGGCAACCCTAGGGACGCTTCTGCAACACTATGAAGTGTCATACATGCGGTAGCACAGAGCATTTGCGCGATCATTGCCCGAAGGGGAAAGGAAAGGGATCCGTACATTTGGCTCAAAACTCTTTTATGGATGACATAGACTACATTGACTACGAGTTTTACGTCAATCCAGAAGCGGCTCCCGCCGCGGGCTCCTCCACGTACTACGTGATGGCCCGCTACGCTGATGCGACCGTGGCCCTGGAAGAGTACGCGGTGACCCTCTTCGACGAGTTCCACGGCTGGGGCGAAGTCGACGAGGGCGCGTTCAACGCCTGGTTCGGTCTTCCAGCGGGGCCACCCGCCGACGACGAGATCTCCGAAGCTGAGACCGTCCCGGCGACCGAGGAGGAGCTCGCCGCCGCGCTGGCACCGCAGGTGATCGGCATGCCGTTGCTGCCTGATCTTTCGCGAGCCGGCTCGGAAGCGGGAGACGCTGACGACGAAATGCGGGGCCATCCCGCAGCTTATTCTGACTCTGAAGAGGCCGAAGAGGACTGAGGACAGGCTCCAAGAGCAGGTCGCAGAAGCGATCCAGCTCCTGAGTGCGCCAGCACATCAGCAGATGACCATGAACGACCTGCTGTCGCGCCCAGGGGCCGCAAGGCTGCGTCCATACCTGGATCCTGATATGTCGGCACCGCAGATGCTGACCGCACTCCAGGCCCTAGCGGGGCCACCCGCTGAAGCGGCGCCAGCTGCAGCAGCGGGGCTACCCGCTTGGTCCATGGACGAGTTCATGCAGGGCTGCGACCAGATGGACCTCAACGACCTCACTATGGAGCAGCTGACCGACATCGGGTACTTCCAAAGCCCGCATCAGCACGTATTCATGGTCCAGGACAGCTCAGAGGACTCGGAGGACAGGCGCAATGCAAAGAAGAACAGACGACCATCGCCACCTCGAGATCCAGAGCACCGTCATGAAGATGAAAGGCCCATGGAATGTGGCAGTGCGTCAGCGGGGCCAACCCGCAGGAGGCGCCGTTCAGCTCCACGACGCCCTACACATGATGCATCTGGCTACCCGTACAGCACGGAGCACTCCAGAGGTGTATCCGCTCAGTACGTGCCGGAGTGGTACATCAATTGGTACCCCGGCTACCCGATGGACGTGATCCGCCACTGGTGGTCCAAGGAGCACTGCAAACGGGACGAATCTGGCATCATAATGCGCACCAAAGGTGGCAAGACTAAAACGCCAGAGGCTTGGGACCGAAAGGCTAAGAAACAGGAGATCATCAACGATCGCAAGACATACAGGAAACAAGTATGTCAATGCGAGCCTTTCAAAGGTCACATGCGCGGCTGTCCAATGGACCGCCCCTTCAGGAGCCCTCATCACGGTGAGACCCCCTGGAACTGGTCTCATGGAGATGACGCTGGCACCGTCCACGATCCTAACAAGAAGGTCCCTGGAGGAGGAAAGCGCATTACCGAAGCCGATCGCGTCCCTATGACCGAGGAGGTTGCTGACACTGTCAGGGAAAATTGGGAACAGCTTCCGAAATACCATCGCCTCAAAGAATGGGGCCGCCGATTCCATGAAGAGGCGGGGTCACCCGCAGACTCCAGCGGAGGTGCGGGGCCACCCGCGGGCGCGGCGCCAGCCGCTGGGTCCGCGGACGAAGAGTGGATGGCTGTTGCATCTGCTGCCGGATCCGCCGCCGGTACTGAACAGACCGAACTGAACGAAGAATGGGCGGCGGAAGACGGCTCAGAGAATCCATTCCCCGATGGATGCGCCTGCTGGTACTACAGCTCCTCGGCGCAGAAGTGGTTTTGCACGAGGGTACTTTACCGCCACGAAAATGGCAAGTACAAGCTGGCCATAAAAGGTAGTGCCAACATCGACCAGATGAGGCAGGTCATCCATGATCATGGCCAGCCAGAAGGCCCTCCTAAAGACCCTCCTGGTCCACCACCAGAGGACGACGAAGACGTAGAACCACCTCCAGGACCTGTGGTCGACTCCTCGCCTCCACCTTCTCCTGAGAAGAGGTCTCCTTCCAAGAGCCCCGAAGGTTCACAGGGGCGTGCGAAGGCCAGAGGGATCGCCAAGAAGGGCGACCCTGAGCCGGGAGAGCCTACCGGCCCGTCCGTGACGGAGAGGAGGGAGGCTTTTGCTGGACCATCAGCCCCGATGCCACCGGCTGCCCAAGGCGACGTCAAGGACGAAGATCGCGACCAGCCTAAGGCAGCCTTCCGAGGTGGCTGGACTCCAACTCTGCATCAGCCGCGCCTTGCACCACGACCAGGCTCGGCACGAATGAAAGCACAACCGAAGCCCGAGGCTGGGTTGAGGTCGGTGCGGGCAGAGGCAGCCGCCAAAGGTAAGGAGGACAAGGGCTCTGCGGGGCCACCCGCTGAAGCGGCGCCAGCTGCAGCAGCGGGGACACCCGCAGAAGGCACTCCCTCAGAAGAAGAACGCCGCAAAGCCCCCAAAGAAATTGACAACCGACAGAAACTAGCCGACGATGCGCTGGCCGACCAAGGTCACCCGCACCCTGGTGCGGGGTCATCCGCTGGAGCTGCCTCGGCAGCCGCAGCGGCGCCAGCTGCAGCAGCGGGGCCACCCGCACGTCGGCAACCAGCATCGTCTGTTCTCAAGAACATCCCTCTGGGAGCCATTGAATATTGGCAAGGCATTGAAGGCAAAGGCCCGAAACGCACCATAAACCCACGAGTCACTCGAGATGATACAGATCGATACGCGGTCATCGATTGCCCCGATCGTCGTAACTTCGAGTGCCGTAACGAATGGGAACGTGAACAACAAGTCGTGGGCAATATGTTGCGGGACAGGCCGCCATTGCGCGTCGCGCAGCACAAGGCAGAGCTCATGAATGTCATGAAGAGGTTCAACGCAGATCCGACTCTGCCGCGCGATTGGCAAATGGCCAAGGTGTCAATATGGTTCTCTACAGCCCTACGCCATGGTCCGTATTGGAAAGATGGATTCAGCCGATACTTCGAAAAGATTGACACTTTCGATCCATACGATGGCCGGGTTGTTGTTGACGACTTGCTGGCAAATTGGACTGGTGACAATCAGTGGAAAGGCTACCAGGACATGCACGATGTGCTTATCAAGGGCAACCCTCACAGCTCATACGTGTATTGGGTGTTGCTGAACTGCTGCAAGATGATCGACAACCATGGCATGCAGAAGGGCAGGCTCCAGATGAAATGCGTCGAGGATAGCATGACGCTACCTCCCAGATTCCGACCAAAGGCACACAGGACACAATATTTCATCAGAGCCACGAACGGCCATAGCAGCCCAGGCATCCACTGCCCAGAGTCGCTCTATAAGCCCATCACGACATGGATGAAGGAACCAGATGAACCAGTATACTTTATCCACGGGACACAGTGGGAGCATGTTAAGGGCATCCTTGAGAATGGCCTTTCATGCCTCACACAGGACAACCCTAAGGGGCAGGGGGGGCGCCAGATCGTTCACGGCTGCCCCTACCTCCCGGGTGACCCGAGGATTCAGTCGGGCATCCGTCCTGACTCTGAGGTGCTCATCTTCTGCAGCATCAGCAAGATGTTGTCCAGCGGCTTCTCTTTATGGAGGTCAGCGAATGACATCGTCATGACACGGGGCCACAATGGCCGCATACCGCCCGATCATATCTATCAGATTGTGAGCATTGCAAAATATCGGGTCGGTGAAGCCTGGTGCAATCCGCTGGCTTACGACAAATCGCGGAAGCGGGGCCAACCCGCGGACAGGATTTGCTCCGAGGACTACTTGCCACTTAAAATGTGCAACAGAGTTCTGGGTGTGATCGGCGAGCACGCCATGTACCTAAAGGGCTGGACTAAGACGGGCGGTCGCCCATTCAACCTGACCATGACCGAGCAAGACGTTGCTCCACGACCGTACCTCACACAGACAGTCCTCATGATAGACGCCCAGGAAGACGAGGTCATGCCTGAGGCGGGGCCACCCGCAGGAGCGGGGACACCCGCGGCAGACACCTCGGATGGTTCATGGCAGCAAGTGGTCACGCCAGTAGCTGCAGTAGCATCTCCTTGGAGGCCGGACCAGCAGACATGGGTCCAGGCCCTCAACAGCTACCTGTCACCAGCCGACGTTTCTGGACTGACCGATCAGCTATGCCGTGCTGACCCGTGGGCAGTGCAGGCAGGTATCCAAGACGCACAGCAAAGGAACCTGCGCACTCCTGCGGGGCCACCAGGCGCCCTAGGACCACAGCCACAACGCCCTCCGCAGCAGGCTGGAGGTGCGAGGTTTGTCCCTATGGGCGGCTCCGATGGTGGCTCGCCGTTCCGGACTCCGCCGTCTGAAACGAGCGAGAACAGCTTGTGGCAAAGACTCCAGGCGATTCGCGGAAATCCAGCACTCGCGGCAGCACTCCAAGCAACCACTCCCTTGGGCACTCCGAGGGGTAGTGAAGGAGGAGCGGCTGCGGGGTCACCCGCTGGGCGAACGCCTGCGGAGCCACCCGCTCAAGCGGGGTCACCCGCTGACGGACAGCAAGGTTCAGACTACGAACGTCGGGCAGCTAACTTAAGAGCGCAGGCTACTTTTCTGCAACAACAAGCTGAAAGAGTGCCCGGCCTGTTGCGGGACCGCAACATAGACGTCACAAGCCATGGCGGCTTCCGACCTCTCTGGAGTTGGACTTCTGAAGATGCTCCAAACGCTGATCCCACGAATCCATATCGACAGGTGTTTATTCCAGGAATAGCATCACACCCGATATACGGATGGGACAATCACGGTCCAGCAGAGGCGCCGGCCATGGACGCGCCGATGTACCCTGAGTACTACGCGCAGATAAATGACACTCCTATGATTGCGGGGTCACCTGCGAACGAATACACTCGGAACATAGCTAATGATATGTTTCGTTTGCAGTTTACACGAGCGGCCGATGCGCAGTCTATGCCACACTACGCCTACATGCCCACGCCGACGGACCCCGAGACCATAGTCCAGCCAGCTGGTCTCGCGGTGCCAGCCGCTATGGGCAGCATGCCAGACTACATCCGCGACGTGCACAACACGCAGCAAGCGATACTGGCATCCAGGCAGCAGGCTCGTGACAACACTAGGCTGCGCCAACGACGCGCGATCCAGAGAAGGATTGAGCGCGAGGCCCAAGCGGGGCCACCCGCGGAAGCGGGGCCACCTGCTGAACGGCCAGAAAGGCGGCCGCCACCGACGCCATATCGGGAGGGCGAAACCACGTTCGAGCGCCAAGCTCGGACTCGCCCTGACTTGCCTGCTCCAGTCATCTCAGACTACAACTTCACTCAGTGCCCAATCTGCATGGACAACTACGAGATGGGCACTTCAGTGTGGAGACTGGCGTGCGGGCACTTCTTCCACGACATATGCTGGGACCGTGTTGCACAGCAGCATGTCCGCAATCAGCGGCCAGGTGCGCCGAATGAGGCCCCCTGTGCCGTATGCCGTGGACCGGGCATAGTGATAGCACACTTCCCGTATGCTGGACAGCGCGATGCGGAGTCGGACCAAGCGCGCCAGCAGGAGAGGTGCGTTGCAGATGCCCGCGAGATGCGTCGGTTACGCGAAGCAGTGGAGGCACTGGAGGCTCGAGCCGCGCGATCGGCGGAGCCATCCGCGCGCGCCCCAGCTGCGCAGGCATGCCCCTGGCCAGCGCCAGAACAAGGCATTCAGATGCTGGTCTTGCCCGCGCTCCGAGCGCAAGAGCCCCCAGCTGCGGGGCCACCCGCTGAAGCGGCTCCCGCCGCTCAAGCGGGGCCACCCGCTAACGGACCTCCAAACCCAGGTCTCTTGAGGAACATGGAGGCTAACATCAGGCGGAGTGGCAGGAGCGGAGGCGGGATTCGGAGGCCAACTGGATCGACCAGGACCTCTCGAGTGGCAAGCCCGGTCAGCGCCAGAAGCCGGGCAAGCGCTGAGAGCGCAGAGGCAGCCCAGTTCCATTCCACATTCATGATCGACACAGAGGGGCTGACCTACGTGCGTGACGATACTGACACGCTGCCACCAACAGGCGAATGGATGTCCACGCTATCTGCAAACTATTGGGTCCCCCAGCAGGAACCGATTACTGTGGAGGAGCGCCGCCAGTACGAGCAGATGTGGTGCACCGAGCTGACCATGACTCAATGGGTTCTTGAACAGCGCCTGTTGAGGGGTACACTCGGATCGCAGATCACGTACCACGCCAACGACCACACTGGCGTACAGGTCGCTCTTGCAGCGCGCAATGGGACATTCTTTCCTGATGAAGATGGTATGCCCTGTATCTCGTTCGTGCTGGACATTGGTTCTAATGTGAACATCATTGGATCCAACACGGCGCGGACCTTCCAGGAGATAATGGCCAGGTTCAACTACCGACCTGCCATCTGCACCCTGAGCAAGACCCTCTACATCGATGGTGTTGGGGAGGGCGCTGCGATATGTCGGAAGATGGGCAACTTCAAGATCGGGGTACAGTACGCCAACGAGGCGAGCCCCCGCATTGAGGAGTATGCCTCCAACATCGCAGAAGGCTCGGGCGCCAATCTCCCGGCTATCTGGGGCCTAGGGCCATGGAGGCACGTGATACGATCATCGTGTTGAAGCCGGGCTACCAGAAGGTCATCTTCCCCAGCGGCGACTACACCCTGAAGCTGGGAAGAGGCGCCAAGGTCCTGAAGGCGAAGAAGACTCCCTCGGGACATCTCGCGATTCCCTGCGGGCTGTGCGATGGGGCCAAGAGCCACACGGTCACGAACACCTTCACGATCCGCAGCAGTCGAGATGGCTACACCGAGACGGAGAACGAAGAGGACCCCGCCAGCGCGGGTCCACCCGCTGCGGCGGGGCCACCGCTGACGCGTCAGCGGGGCCACCCGCGACGGGACAGTTCGCCAATCCGAATAGGCACGAGGACTTCGTTCGTACATCTACCAACAGCTGGACATCGACCTTCACGACTGATACGTACATCGTCGAGCCGTATATCGACAAGCAGCTCCAGGAGGACACGACCCGTTTGATCGTGAACAGGACGAGAACAGTCTTGGATTAATATGGTGTGGTGGGTTATGCTGGTGGTTTGTTCTTTTTTTTTTTGGGCTTCTGTTTTTTTTTTTTTTGTTTTGTGTTTGTGGTTCTAGTTGTCATTTTGGTGGGTTTGGCTATTCTTAGTTTGTTTTTGGTGGGAGGGCCGACAGTGTCCCGAAGGAACTTGGCACCCACCTCCTGAGAACGCGGCGATGATACGGCCACGCATGAAGGCCGCCCTGAAGTCCAAGATCTTCTGGGCAGTCCAGGAGGCGGTGAGCAAATTGACGCCTGAGGAGTTTACCCCTCTGCATCCAGCGGGGCCACCCGCGTCGCCGCCACCGCCACCAAGCTACACGGGCGGAGGTTCGTCGGACTCTGCGGGGCCAACCCGCCTGCTGTCGTCTGAGGACGTCCGCGGGATGACGAATCGCGAGCTGATGGACACTCTCGAAGCCATCACCCAGCGAGGTGAGAGAGCGGAGATCGTGGGTCACGCTACGGATCGGACGGAATACTTTGACATCTCTGAGAACAACCCACCGAGTCTGTCTGCGAGCGTGGCCACACCAGCGACTCCTGCGAAGCCATCCGCGAACAGCACGCCTCCGAGTCAAGCGGCAACTTGGTCTCACGACAGCCGCTGACGGGGGCAGGCGGGCGCGCCGGCGGCGCTCGCTTGCGAAGAGAAGCCGAATACCGGCCTCCTCGCTACATACGTTGGCCGCGCTGAGGCCCGAGAGGAAAAAATATCATTCAAAATGTCTTGTCATCGAAGATATTCGCACAGCTTGCGCTGAACTCCGAACCCGTGGCTATATATGTGACCGGATTACCCATAATGAGGTAATGACTTCAACTGGAACACAGTATTTGGGAAACTTGTTGGCAGGAGACTATAATATGTTGTGGGTGGCCACACCCTCTGATTGGTACGTTCGTACTCCAGAAAAGAGGGCGGGACCCCACTATCAACGTATACAAAATCTCCTGATCAAAGCGCGTGCTCTGAGAATGCAGATTGTCATCCTGGGGCCACCCGGGTATTTCTGGAAACAGGGTCCGATCAAAGATGTTATCGAAGATTTGAAGCTGAGCATCAT